GTAATGAGGGACAGACTGCAGAAGAAGCAGGGAATAGTTTTGCCTGGAACTAGTTTTACTCTTTGAGAAGTTTTTTTGTATAGCTACCTAATCTGTGTCACACACATAGCAGCACTGCAGCTTACTCCTGACAGAGCTCAAGCCCAGCTGAGGCTGCCCCAGAATGCACACAGGTGCTCCAAGAAGCCCAGAAAGCTGCTGGTGGCTTGGGCAGATTGTCCTGCTGGATGGAAACACTGATGGACTTCTACCCTTGAGTTAATAATGGCACTGAAACAGCAGAAGTAAACTACTCTACAGGGCTGATGTTTATACTGAATATACAGTAGTGGATAAGCATCATCATTCCCCTACTAGGTATACCTTTCTAGAGTTGAGCTTTTAACAACAGACATACTTGTTTCCTATTACATTGGCCGTATGGAGACTGCGAGGAAGTGGTACTGTCCCTTTGGTTTCTGGTCTTGACCAGGTCATGGTTTCTAAAAGAAAGAGAAAAAAATTCTCAAAAAAAAAAAAAAAAAAAAAAAAAAAAAAAAAAAACCAAACAACAAAAAAAACACACCTTGTTGCTAAAAACACACCTTGTTGCTACATATTTCACTACCTGGATTTTAGGAGGAAACCTACCTCTAATACTCAGCAAAGCTAAATTTCACCTTTTTAAAATGGCTACTTTTAGAAAAAGGGTGCAATAACAAGCACTTGGAACTTCTTTTTAACAAAACACGGGAAATACTGACAAACTAAGTGTTTATCAAAAACATAAATTATGGTTTCATTATGGTTATTCAACTTGGCTTCTTTAGAGTGTTTTAAAGACTATGGTATCTGTGTCATGTAGTACTCATAATTAGTGAGGATAATATATGCAAACAATCTATTTAATTCCAAATATTACAAAAGGTTAACACTATGGTGTCAGTCTCAATAATATCTGCACCACAGCCTGCCATTAACCATTCTATACTGTATTTTTTCCCCTCAGCCAGTAAGCACTGACTTCTGCTGGCAAACCAACTCACCTATGTCAAGTTCCCAGAGATCATTAAGCCGACAGCCACACATGCCTCCAAAAATATACATCTTTGGGCTTCCCACATCTTTTCTGCAGTACACTATGGCTGTATGAGATTCTCGGGGAGATGGCAAGATTCCTTTGGTCACAGGAATACTCCAGCCGACCACACCAGACCCATGTTGCAGCTCCAGTTCATAGAAATCATTTAAATATCTAGAGTATTATTGTCAAAGTATGAAAAACTCACTTATAAGCATGACAACAAGTGCACTTTAAACCCTGACTGCTTCCAGGTATTACAAACTTCTGTCTTGGGAGGGTGCAGAGTTCTAAACTCTCAAAATATTTGATGCGTTGTGGGCAGTACCAAATCTGAATTCAAAATGGATTTTAAAAAAAATTTAACAGTTATAACTTGTTGCCTCTGATAAAACATGCTCTCTTATTCGATACATTGTATTACACAAAAGAAACATGAAAACAACATTTATTGCAAAAATTGCTGCATACCGACACACAATAAACCTCAAAGCAGTGGGAAATACATGATGACAAGAGGTATTAGAGAGAAATTTCTGCAACTCTTAAAGCAATGAAGGTGAGAAGCTGATGTTTTCTTGTGTCTTCAGGCTGGCCAATACACAATTAGCCATTTGTTGCTGAATCTATCAGCAAGTTATTTTTAGATAATGGTCTTTGAATCTTGGCATTCACACCAGATACCTTTTGTTTACTGTGCTTGAAATTGCCAGTTTACAGCTCAGTGGATATAAGTGCTCTGAGCTGCAGGTGAATGTCGATATAAAACTTCAGCATTCTAGCACAGTTTCTTACAATAATGGCAACTTCAGCTGCTATAGTAAAAAAATTCCAGATGAATTTATAACTGTTTTCCACAGCAATACAGAAGAAACATCCATCTAAGTCCCCGATGACTCATGAGACTCTGCTGATTGAGATAATTCTAACAAACAAGCCATTCTTAGAAACATCACCCAAAATACCAGGAGAAATACAAAAGCCTACTCAGGTTGCCCTACAAAAGTGTCAAAGCTGTCACTCAGTGTTCCATATTGTGGGATTAGCAAAAGGAATGCTTAACCTTCTTCACATGTAACCCCTTCACTGCACAAATAATCCAACTTTGAGCACTTGGTGTGCAGGATAGCCTGCCTAGAATGTTCCTTTTCAAAGCTGTTAAATCAAGTAATTTGTTTTTAAAGCCGTTAAATTCAAAAACAAATCAGCATACCTTGGAACATTATTATTTGAATCTTCACTTTCATTTGCCAGGCCACCAAATAAATAGCACTTGTTACCATACAAAGAAAAGCTGTGGCCAAGCCGAGGACAGGGTGGTGATCCATTTGAAGGAGCTTGAGGTTTTACTTTTTTCCAGAGCCATCGACTTGCCTTGAAGACAAAAAAAATTATTTTAAAACAATATCATTGATAGTCTGTCATAAGGGATAGAATTCATATAATATTAACACTTATATATTTTCTGAATTATTTTTAAGGGAATGCTGAGCTTTTCTTAGGACATTCATTAAAAAGGATATGTAAGAGCTAACCTTAATAAAATATTGAATGTATTACACTTAATTTAGACTAGATGAAAGTCTCTATTTCAAAGTTATTTAGAATAAACTTTAGATTCTTAAGATGGAAAAAATCTTCTGAAAAGCAAAGATCATCTAACTTTCTTCTGCAGTTGGTAAAATAAAATGTGTTTCTTCATAAACAGATAAATATAGTAGTCCTGAAAATCAAAACATAATCATACATTTCCTACCTGCAATTCATATAAATCATTGCTATATCTTCCATATTCAACCATTCCTCCAAAAACTAGTATTCTGGTACCATCACAAACAAATCCATGTGCTGCACAGCCTGGAGGAATATCTCCCCTAACAGCAGGAAGGAACCATTGATTCGTAACTATTGTAGGAAATAAAAAGCCAAAATCCAGAAAAATATATTAGAAAAACATTTCCAACACTGAAACATGTATTTTTAAACACCTCTGCTTTCTAAAGAATTACCTTTTATCTGCAGACAACTACGGTTATTTGCTTCACACTAAGTTTTAAATTAATTCTTTTTTTTTTTGATGACAAGAAAAGCAAAGACCTCTATCAAACCAGTGTTACCCAGTATATGAATGAGCCCATGAGGTCACTGTAATTAAGTCAGTCACTTGCCAAGAATAGAGGCTAATGAGGAACACAAGTGCAGTTCCACACAAAAGAGATAACCACACTAACTCAGAGGGAGCTAGCTCTAGAAACAGAATTATTAGAGCTACAGCAGCATGGCACTGTGCCTGGACTTAATAGCCCTATTCAAAAACTAATTACACTGTTCTGAGACTCATTTTAATATCCACAGAGTGGGAGAGGAGAGGCACAGAGTCGAGAAAAAGGAACTGATCCAGCAGCAGCAAAGTGGTGCCTAAACTGTTCTGAAATTTAAGAATTACAGGGGACAATGTCTTCTTTTTCCTACACATTTTACGAGCATGAAGAGGAGAAGAAGGAAATTAGAAGCTTCCAGTGAACGTTGCTGCAGGGGATTAAGATGGTCTCAGTGTGTGCCAGCTCCTCAAAAATCATCACATGCACAGCAAGGGCCAAGGATGATATCCCACACTCGGGTAGTTCAGGTCATAACCCTGCATCTTAACCCCAGAATAAAAAAGGTCAGTTGCGGCCAAGCACTCATCCAGAAACTGGAGCAACTAAGTCATGATGCTTTTTGTCACTGCTGCTAAGGGGAAACACCTTAAGCAGCAAGTCTGGGAAGAAAAAAACCAAGTCATTATAAGACTCACTGAAAAGGCACTAGTCAGAACCTCTGTTCTGATGGCATAACTATGTTAAGAGTTTTCTTTGGATTACTTGTCAGAACAGAAAGGTTAAGAGATTTTTTTCGTTCTCCCATCAGAAATCTGATTCAAGCATAGTAGATCTTGAAGATATCCGGAAAAATCGGCCTGGAAAAACCTCAAGCAGCCAACACTGTCTGACTGAGAAGCACAGATCAGTCACTAAACTCCCCCGTCTCGGCCTAAGCCCTGAAATTACACACAAGTTTTCCAGCCTCATCCAGCATTCAGTACAGTAACTATTTGGGCATCTGATCTTTCACAAATAAAATCGGTCTTGGGCAGCTTCCTGTTTGCCTGTTCCCGCTGTCAACACGTACAGTTTTCCAAACAAGATTCCCATTCCAGGGCATTCGGCTCTCGTGAGCTGCCGCCACCAGAGGGAAGGAGGGGGGGATCCGGACACTCGTAGGGACTAATCCCGCCTGCCGCCATTCAGCCGCGACCTGCCAGGGAAGAGGCTCCACATCCCTGCGCGACGGTCGGGGACAGCAGAGCAGCCGCGATTCTCCCGGTCGCTTTTTCCCAGCAAGGAGAACCAACCCCGCAGCACCAGCCAGGGCGCAGCACTACCCCACGGAAGACCCCTGGCCCAGGCATATTTTCCCCGCCATTTCGGCTCTGGGCAGTTCCTCAGCCCGCCCGCCGCCCCCTCAGCCACGGCCCCCGCGGGCAGTGCCGGGGGAGGGCGGGAGGCCTGGGGGGGATCCCCGGCGCCGTGCGGAGCCCGGTGCCACCGGCCGTCGCAGACGGGACAGCCCCGCCGCTGTCTCCCCCGTGGCCGGGCCCCGCCCCGCGCACCCGTGTTGTAGACGTGCAGCTCGTCGGCGATGCCCTCGTTGCCACCGCCGAAGATAATGAGCAACTCTCGGATGGCGACCGCGCGGTGCCCGTGGCGGGAGCGTGGCACCGGCCCCGTGAAGGAGGACACCCGCCTCCAGCTCAGCCCGGCGGCGGCCGCCGCCATCTCACAGCCGCTCCCACAACGCACTGCGCGGCCAGGGCAGCCCGCCGGGGAAGGGGGAGTGCTGACGTGAGGGTGGCGGGTCCGTGTCCCGCCCCGCGGCCGCCTCCGCCGCGGCGCCGGCCCCGACTCGGCACGGCCCCCTCCGCTCCTGCGGCGCCTCCGGGCCCGGCTGTGCTCCGGCGGGTGCCCTGTATTGGGGCCCCATGCCTGCGGCGTACGGCGCCCGAGGGGCGCTCGGACACCGCAGGGGCGGCGTGGACTCCTCTGCTTGGGGCACCCCCTCTGCCGCCAAGCCCTCAGAAACGTTCTCCTTTTTTTAATTTATTTTTAACTGGCTTGTGGTAGGCGAGGCAATGCTGCTGCTTGCGAGGTGTGCGGCGAGAAAGAAATGAGTTCAAACACCGAAGGTTGAGACTAGCAACCGAGGTTTTGGTTCTACAGCTGGCAGCGGGTGATCTAAGTGAATTCGAAGGTCTCGTTCTACAGGAGAGAAGCTGCTCTGTCCTGTGTGAAGGGAGTGTTTAGTGAGAATATAAATGTATGATGCTGAGGGGAATCCAAAGAAGGTGTATCTGATGCTAAAAGTCTCTTCCCATTGTTCAGTTCTACACGGTAAATGATGATGCTGAGATGTGTAATTGAGGTTGGACATTAGGAGGAATTTCCTCATGGAAAGAGTGATTAGACATTAGAATTGGCTGCCCAGGGATGTGGTGGAGGTGTTTAAGGAAGAACTGGATGTGGCTCTTACTGCCATGGTCTTGTTGATAAGGTGGTGATTGGTTATTGTTTGGACTTGATGGTTTCAGAATGGTTTTCCAACCTGATTCTGTGATTCTGTGAAGGTGTTACTGCATTGCCAGCAATCCCGACTGTTCTGCCAGGTGAAGCAGCCAGTCCCAGTTCTGCAGGCTCACATGACTGCGTGCTGCTTAGATCTGTTCAGATTCACATAGAAATGGAAGGGAATGTGAAAAAAACATGGGTGGATTTTGGTGAACATGAGCTTAATACAACTTAAATAGCACAACAAAACACTAATTGTTGTGGCCATCTGCACTAAGCATATATCTGTATGTATAACTCTTCATTTAATTTTTGCTCAAGCAGAAGATAGAGTCCTGTGCAAAATCAGACACAGATAATACAGTTCGGGCATGTTTGAGGCACATCATTGAAATCCCACATTTTTGGCTTCTGCAAATGGAGTAATTGTCATTTAAAACAGTTAAGATTATTAAGAACTTTATTGACTACTACTCATAAATCTGGCACTGCCTCATGGTAAAAATACAAAAAATAGTTTAGAGTTGAAGATGTTTGTTGTTATTCCTTTCAGTTGTCATGAAAGTCTTGTTACAAAACAGTGGTTTATCATTTAGAAAGTTCATTCCTAGAAGAGAGGGACAGAATTCAAATAAAAGAAGCGCTGTAGAAAGAAAACTTCAAAAGCATTCCAGAAGAGTTTAGGAGACAGGATATCACCATGTGCTGATTACCTTGATCCAAGAGCCTTTTGAATCTAAATCAAACCTGTGGATTAAATGCTAAAAGATTAGGAAATGAGATTATTCAAGTCAAAATGCATGTTTAGAGTTGACTTTTGCAAGTTTCCCTTAGCTTTTAACTCTCAAGAACTCTGCCAACAGTTGGCTGTGGCTGTCCTGCGGTCACGGAGCTTTGGAATGCCGGCTAGCAAGCTCCCTGTGACCAGAGGGACACACAAGAGAGGCTGCCCCTGAGCTTCTACCAAGGCCTTTCAGGTGGCAGTGGGTGTAGCAGCGTGGGTGACACTGCAACAGGACACCACTAGGATCCCAAGGTAAAGAGACGAAGGAGAGGACACTGGTATGCAGTCCAATGAAGAATGGGTCAAAAATGAGTGACAAGGGAAGAGTGGTCTGGCCAGGGTTTTTAAAGGAGGCTACTTTAGGGGGTGGGGCATCACCTAACCAATGGGAGAACACTTGGGGAGGAGCATGGGATCAACAAGATCAATGGGATTAACATGGGAGAGGGGAGAAGCCTCTAGGACAAATCAACTGTTAGAACCAGCGTAATTGACATTGAACATTCGGGAACAAAAAGGGTGGATCTAGGTTGATGGACTGTCTCTGTTCCTCTGGGAGCCTCTCAGAACCCTCTGCCAGTTCTGAGTCGGCAGACACCAGGGGGGCAGTTCCGACACGGCCGACAGCAGGGAGACACTCTCCTGTGCCCCCTAGGTACTGAGGGCACCTAGGCTAGTTGCCTTTGCAGCAGAAGAGACACTAGAGACATCGGTAGAAGATAAAGGGCCGACTGTTAGCAGGGGTTAATCCAAGGTTTTATTCAGGGGCTCTGGGGAGCTCCTGCACCTTAGGGGGCCTCCTGCCGAGAGCCCCGGGAGATGTGCAAGGTTACATTTAACTGGAGTAGGAAACCAAAAGTAGATAACATTTTACTAACCACTAAGTGACCCTAAGGAATGGATATTGGGGGATAGACATTTAGGACAGCGAATGGGGCTAGGCTTGGGGGACTGACCCCTAGCATCTGGCTAATCGCTCGATGTTCTGGACTGAAGCTTCTAGATGGAGGGGATGGGATGCTGAGTGATTGACAGCCAGGGTTGGGATTTGGGGATGATCTCCGCAAGGAAGAGGGATTACACAGGTATAGGGAGTGGGATACAATCTGGAATAAACCATTTGGGAAAAATATGGGGATACAAAACCAGAACTACTTCGAAGTATTACAAAGTATAAAAACACACTACAACAATGGACAAGGGAAGGGGATAGCACAACTTGGGTTGACAGGTCCATACGAGGGAAGGAAGGGAGGAGCAAGGATCAGGCATGTTGAGGGCCAACTAAGCGGCAGGAAAATTCAGGGGCAAACAACTTGGGAAAAACCATTATGAGGGGATAAAATGGGGGTACAAGGATCAAACCATTTTTCTTAATTAACATTGAACTACTAACTGTTGCAATTGGAATAACTATAGAACTCATAAAACATACCACCACATTTGGCTTTCTGTTAGACTTCAGCATGCTATAGTCTGGATCTGGCACACTAGTTGCCTGTTCACATTTACCATAAATAATGACTAAAAGCATAACTTGCAGCTAGATTTTGGAAGTGACTTCTGGAAGGGTTTGTTTCCTACTCTTTCCCCCACCCCTTTAAAGCTTTTTGTCTTATGGGATTTGTTTGCAATCTGCTAGCTGAATTTCGGAGGCAAGTTTGCCAGATCTGGGGCTGTATCATCATTCTGCACATCTGGAAGTGGTTTATGTGCTCTCATTCTTCCAGTACAGCATCTGGACTCTGCCTTATTCCTCAGCAGCAGAGAAAGGAAAGAAAACCAGCACAACTCCAAAGTAAACTTTGAAGAGTTTGAAAAAGGAATCAAATTATAAAACTGTTACTTTGCCCTGTAAGGCCCTCGTGTGGGTGACTTCAAAGGAGGATGGTGGTCGAGGACGCTTTGGCAAGAGTGCTTATGGCTGTGGGCTATCTAGGATCCAAGTAAATAACTCCACAGCGCTTCAGGAGAGAAGAGTCCCAAATACTGTGCTGCTTTGAAGAGGTAAAAAGACTAATTAAGCAGGAAATATCTGATCAGTAATGTCACTGTTTTTTGAGCTTTCCCTTCTGCAGCCCCTTGCTTTGTTATAGGATTTGGCAGCTGAGTTAGGGACTGCCAGGTTCCAGGAAATAATGTCTACCGTAAATGAGTAAATATTTGCAGGGGAACAAATATACCTCTCTTTCCTTAAAAATCAGTAGGTAATCAATTGGTGTTTCAGGGGCGTAGGAATGCTGTAGTTGTAGAATTCAGACTTGTGTGAGAGTCTGTCTTTGGATTTTAAAGTTTAAAACATGGTTCAGTTTATGTGGATTTAATAGTTTCTGGAGATAACATGAAACTGTGGCTGTGCTCCTTTCATCTTGTAGTGATCATCAGGATTATTTGTAGCTACTGTTACAAATGGTAATTCAAAGGTAGCTCCGTGGAAATCAGGGGAAGATTGTGATCAGCTAAAGTGGGGTTAGAAAATTAGTCCAAGAGCATAGCAGGTTCTGTTGTCCCTCTGCTTACCTAAATGTGTAAAGTTTTTAAGTGTAAAAGAAAGTAATACTTCTGTGTAATGCATGAGAGAAAGGCTTTCTCAGCTGTGTTTTTTTCTGACAGATAAGCTTGATTTCCTCTGTGTAAATTAATGCCACATGAAGAGAATGGTCTCCTGGAATGTAGATAAGTAGTGCAGATGTGGAAGAACTTCCGGAGTACTCCTTTCTCACTGCGATTTAGCCATTAGTTGACTTAAATAAATTTGAATATAAATGGTTTGTAGACAATGCCACATCTTAAATTTCATATATATATATTTGTTATTGTTGTTGTCATTTAACTTGTTGGTCAAAGTAAAGACTAATTTAATATTGCCTGAAGTTGAGCACTAACCAATGGGAGGTGGTCAGCTTTGTGACTCAGATTTCAAGAATTCTTGCTGTTCTGTCTGATTTGTCAAGGAGCTGGAATAAACTTCACTTTTGTGTGTGCACAGAACCGATCTTATATCTTAATCTGTGTGGTAATGTGTCCATATCTGTAGGTGTGGAAGCAGGTAAAATTGTTTTTTGTTCTATCCCTACGTAGTGTAAAGGTTGGATTACACAGATGGATTTTTCTCTCCCATCCAACTTCTGGTGCTGTTTTTTACTGTTGGTGGTTGTTGTTTTGGTTATGTGCTTTGTGTTTTCTTTCATAAACAGTAGTTTTGGGTCCAGAATTCAATCGAATGTTGTATTTCTCATAATCCTGTACTTTAGGGGTTATGTTCTGTCTTCTCAGACATGGCTGCTCTCAGGCCTGGACTAGAAGCACAGTTTTAGGGAAGGCTATCTCATTTTGTTCAGCATCACAAAATGTGCATAAATACAAGCCTACTACACCCACTGGAAGAATACAGCTGTAAGAAAATATTTGCACTATTGCTCTGAAATTTTTGAGGGTCTTGAAGACACTGCCCTGGTATAAGGTTCCCATATGTTTGGGAATGCATACTCCAGCAAGACATTAGTATTTGCTGTAGTTACTATGTTGGAGGTGAAATCAGAGATAAATGTATTTATAAATTGCATTGGTGCATGTTTTAATACTTCTTTGCACAGTATCTTAAAATGTACTAAAAATCACCTACTGGTGTAGAAGATCAGGTGGGATTTATGAAAATGTTTTTCAAAACCTATTAGTTGCTAAACTATTAATAAAAATACTTCAAACCATAAAGCTAGTATTTGTTCAAAAACAAAAGGTATTTACAGAGATTAATTGTCATTTTACTTTTACCAGTTCCATAGTAAAATTTGATAATCCAAACCCTAGACCTTTATATAATTAACAAGAATACGCTTCTGGCATCAATGTTATTTCTCACTTTTATTTTTTTTCTTTTAATTATTTTTTATTTTAGTTTACCATAAATCACAGTTCTCATCTAACAGGACACATGGCTCTTTTAAAGAAAGGTAAGAGAGATTAAAAACATTTGAAAGATGTATTTTTTAAAAGAGGACAGAAATATGAAATCCCATTTCTCATGCAACTGTTTTCAGAGTTGCGTACAAATTTATAGTTCTGGTATTGCTAAATTATGCTTAACTTTAAGTATGCAGATAAGCCTTTTCCTGTTAATTGTGTCAGATAAGTACCACCATAATTCACATTAATTTAAAATTACTTAGTGCTTTAGTTCATGAGACTGGAGATTGTGAAATTTCCCACCAATACTGCAAGTAGCTGCTGTTTTCACGTGAATTCTGCCCAGGGCACTGAAGCTGAATTTTACAGAGATCTGCACATTAATGCTGTTCATACTCAATATTGAGGTGTGGCCCCCAGAATTTTGGGGTTCTCATCAGCTGTAAGGGTCAGTGACTGAAAATGGACTTTTGCATTTATTTATGTGCCCAAAATTTCTCAGAAGTCAGTGGGCTTTTTCCTCAGCTGGTTTAAATTAGTGCAGGTTTGGTTTACCAATTTCAATCTAGTCTTGTGCCCAGTGGTGGCCAGTTGGCCATTTTGATTAAAATAGATCAAAACTCTGCTCCCTTTGCTCTTTTGAACACCTTAAATACATTTTATGATGGTACAAAAGTAACAAAGTAGTCTGAAACAAAGAACACCCATTTTGATGAGGGCAAGGTATTCCTTCCCTATTGTGCTTGGTGAGCTGTCCCAACACCTGCACATGCTTGGTTTGTGTTGAATGACTTAAACCTGTACAAGACAGTCTTCTAGGAACTATGAATCAGAATATAAAGTCAGGTATTTGCCTTGCTTGATTTTACTGATTTAAATTACACTGTCAAAATAAGTATTTTCGAATATTTTGGAACATTCCTGGTTTCACTAGCATGGTGGGTTTGTTTTTCTAGAATTTTTAGGGTTTTGCTCAAATACACTTTCAGGATCTGAGCATTGAAATAGATATAAAAATTCTCCTGTGTCTGAAGTTTCATCAGGGAAGCATAATAGAACGGAAGGGCTACATAATAAGAATTAACTCATTAAGTGAGTGTAAACAGACAACAGACTAGCCAGGAAAAAAACTGTTCTGAGCTCCTGGTTAAATTTAGAAATATGTGTATTTTCTAGTATGGATAACCCAAATATATTGTGACTCTTATGATTTAGTGAGCAAATTAACCATGAAAATCAGATTGTTGGCGATTATTTTAATAAGGGAGAATTATTGTTATGTTTCTAATATTTCAAGTTTTTAGGTTGATCAAATAACATGAGAAAAACACAACAGATACAGGTTATCGAATTTTTCTATCACCTGTACTAGTTGCAAATTGGGGGTATTTTTCTTTAGTCAGATACTTGGGAAATAGCTGTTATAGTGATTGTTAACACATTCTCCCTCTTGTTGCAGTTAACCAGATCTTATTGTTACTTCTTGTCTTAACTGTGTGCGCTATTCTGTATAGAAACGTTCACCAAGTGCCCTTGGCATTAAGAAATGAAACAGGTAAGTGACTCTCACTTCAGTTTCATTTATGTTCCTGTTTTGTATTCCTCATGTCTTAACTTGAACAGCACTTTTCACCTTACTGAATGTTTTGCAGTAGATGAACTACTCACACTGTTTCTTAGTCTCACATAGTCTGTAACAAAAAGCATTTTGCTTCTGAATTACGTGAATAAAATTATAGGAGATTGATATTGATGACTAAGAGTTGTAATTCTGATTAAGTTTCTATCCAGATGTCACTGATGTAGATGGATGCTGGAGTATGTCCTTACTTGAGCTGAACAGATTGGAGTTGTCAAGTGGTAATGAACTTTGATCATGCCCTGCCTCCTTGGCTTGATTATTAATTTCAGATAGGCCATAAAATCTTCATATTTACAGCAGAAGTTTTAGCTGAAATTTTTATAGTGACAGAAACCTGCTAGGTTAATTAGGTTGGACTAGTACTAAATGTAGTAAGCTATTTATATAGTACCTTTATGAAGAGCTGGCTTACTGCTGCCAAGGTAAACAAACTCTATCTTGATATAAATAATTTATTTTCAATATATTTTTGTTGAGGTTGTTATGACTGTAATTGTTATGTTTTAGCCATTACAGTTATATCTGTTTAAGTCCTGTAAGTTAATCAGTGCTAATCAGGGATATAAATCCTTAGCAGGAATGTGACCTGATTCAGTGTAGTCTAGGGTTTTTTCCCTTATATCGTTAGCAACTTCCTGCTGATATAAACTTTTGCACTCTTCCTTTCAAGCCAGCTTGCCAAAGAAGTGGAGCTCATGCAATTGCACTGTCTCTTTGACTTGCCTCCTTCCTTTGATAATTTTGGAACTTATTGTTCAATTTGCACTAAATATAGCTGAGAAGTAGAAGTCTCAAAGGTATTCAAACCTCTCCAGATTTCATATGAATAAGCAGCTACATGAAGGACAGCCCCTGCTGAGTAGAAGATTCTGAGAACTCTCTTATTTATTCTATTTGGAGGCATCCAACCGTCCAGTCAACCTGCAAGTGGTTCTGGATTAGCAACAGCTCAAGCTATGTGCCTTGCGAGATGGGAATGTGTGTAGGATGTAGTAGGGAAAAATGCAGTGGTGATAGAATGATTCCACTGCTTATGGTAGTACTTACTCATTTTTGTGACCCAGATCTGGTGTAAAATGTAAAATGTTTCTTGTAGTGGATTTGGAGAACCTTGAGGAAATGGAGGAAGAAATCCCAGTGGTAATCTGTGCTGCTGCGGGCAGGATGGGTGCGGCTGTAGCAGCAATCAGCAGCATCTACAGCAACACAGAGGCCAATGTTTTATTCTACATCGTTGGGCTGAAGACAACCATCCCACACATTCGGTACACATCAGCCTTGCTTTGTTTTGGGCTGTAGTTAGAGCCATGTTGTTGTTCCTCCTAGCGCAGGCACTAGTCCTTTTGGACTTCAGAGGACTTTTCAGAGAAATCTAGTAGTATTGGGAGCAACCCCCAGGATTATGTATGTGATAAACAAAGGACCACTTTGTCCTCCACAAGGCACTGACTCGTGCAAAGAGGTGTGAAATAACCAGACCATGCCATGCCTGTTCTTAGGTTTGGATAGTTAGGATGCAGAAGAATCTGTAGTGAGGTAAGGATACACTGCCAGCTTGTCACAATCCCACTTTGTGCCACTGTACTTATTTCTCTTCTGGTGCTGAATCTTCATCTTCAGAGTAGAAAAAACTTGCTGTTTAAAGCTAATTTCTGTTGATGATGTATTAAAGTTCTAAAAAGAGGCCCTAAAAGTATTGTGATGACTTTCTTTCCATTTCACTTTGTTCCTTAATTTTTCATGTAATTTCCTGTCATGAAATAAGAATTCTTCATTTCATGACAGGAAATGAAATCTTAGGATTTCAATGAATATTCATCTCATTAAATTTCAGTTCATTTCACAGCACTTCATTCCATTCAATTTAATTGTTTTCACTTAATTTCAGAATTTTCTTCTTCTCAGTTTTACTGCAATACATTTTCCTTTCCTTTCTATCCGTTTTGATTTAGTCTATCTTTTCTCATTTTATTTCCCTTCCTGAAACGAAAATTCCTCATTTCATGAAAGGAAATGAAATCTCAATATTTCAATGAATATAATTTCTTGAGGTTTCATCTCATTTCAATGCACTTCATTTCATTCTATTCCCTTTCACTTGTTTCACTTCATTACATACTTTTCTTCTTTTTTCATTCATTATATTTCATGTATGTTCATTTCACTTCATTCCTTGATTTGTTATTTATTTTCCTTCATAAATGAGAATTCTTCATTTCATGAAAGGAAACTATATCCTGCAGGACATTTCAATGAATGTAATTTCATGAAGTTTCAGTTCATTTTGTTTCAACATTCAAATTTGCAAACATTGTCTTGAAGAGAACCAAGTTGTGAATGCAAACTAAAACATTTCTTAGCAGTTCTCATCTCTGGCTACTTCACTTCTGTAGCCTTTGTACCTGCAATTTGTGTCAGGAGAGAAAATAAACAGGGTGATAAAAAATCTGACAAAAAGATGAAAAGAAAATTAGTTTAGTATAAAGAATACATAATTAGGAGGTGATGTAGAAGTCATCTGGAAGACCATAAAGCTGTGAAAGGGTGAAGACTAACCTCAGCTTGAAAAGCACAGTAGATAGGGTAAGAAATTATAATATTTAATTATAGCAAAAAAAAACTTAGAAGAATATAGTTTATTGGAAGTAATGGTGAAAGATTAGTTGTTTGGGCTATATATGGAGTCTCTGGTTTGGGGAGTGGTATGGGGTGTTTGTTTTATTGTGGTTTTGTGGGGATTTTTTGTATTTTAAGAACAAGTTTAACAAAGGACTATGTGCAATAGCTGTAGACATAAGGGATTCTGTCTTGGGACAGAATAGATCAAGTGAGATTTTAAGGTCTCTTATTATTCTCCTAAGTGTCTGTGAATTTCATGCTGGAAGTACTTGCCATGCCATGCACTTGATATTTCTTTTTTTACTTATTTTCTTTCCATCACAGAAAATGGATTAAAAATTCTAAACTGAAAGAAATAAAATTTAAGGTTGTGGAATTCAATCCTATGGTACTAAAAGGAAAAATCAGACAAGATGCATCACGTCCTGAGCTACTGCAACCTGTGAGTCAATGGACACCTCATAATAAATTATTGAGGTTTTTAATACTTATTATGGGCTTAAAAATGTCCTAGATCTGTTCCATTTAATGGAGGAGGTGTGCATATATGTCTCTTCCAATGCAAGAGCCAATGTGCCAGTTAGTCAGAGTGATAGCATAAACAAGAGATGTTGCACACTTTTCATGCAATGAGTACTGCATCTCTGGAATTCCTTGCTGAAAGGTCTCATGGATGTAAAAATGTTAAGGGGGTTCAGTTAGGATCAAAGTTCATATTTAGATCACACCTAGATCAGAAAATCTCTTGAGCTGAAAATAGTTGAAAGCTAGAAGAATACATGGAGCAACTGTTCTGTGTGCTTGCTTTATTTTTATTTTTCACTGAGCATCCAGTTAGGACCACTCTGAAGGCAGGGGCTGGGTAAAATTATCTGAATTCTTATGGTTGTTCTTACATTCTCAGTCCCCTTTCCCTCTGCTCTGTTCTTCATTGCTGTTGTAGAAGTTATCCCATGTCTGTGTCACTAGTCAAATAACTCCTTTAGAGTGGATTGATGGTACTATCACATTTTTAAATGTTTGCTGTGATTTATGCTGTAAAAATGCACTAGGAAGAACACTGGCAGCAGGTCCAGAAAGGTGCTCCTTCCACTCTGCTCTGCACTGATGAGGCTGCATCTGAAAGTGCCCAGTTCTGAGTCCACCAGTATAAGAAAGAAATGGGCTTACTGGGGCGAGTATGACATGGGCTACAAAGATGATTAAGAGGCTGAAGCATCTTCTATATGGGAGGCTGAAAGTTGAGGCTGTTTCAGTCTGGAGAAGACAAGATTCAGGAGGGTCTTATCAATGTGTGTAAATACTTAAGGGGAGCAACAAGAGACGATGGGCACAAATAACATGAAATTCCGTCTGAGCTAAAGAAAAGGCTTTTAAAGCATGAGTTTAAAAGTCTCAGGTTGCCCAGAGAGACTGTTGGGTCTCCATCTGTGGACATATTCAGAACCCAACTGGGCATGGTCCCTGTCAGTCTGCTTGAGTGGGCTCTGCTGCAGCTGAGCCCTCTCAAGGGGGTTGAACAAGAGGATTTCAAAAGGCCCCTTGTAGCCTAAAGGATTCTGTGAGGAAGCAACATATTTGAGCTGCATGATTAGGGCCATAATGGATAAGTAATAACAGCAGTAATAGTAATAATACCAGATTTGAGATAGCAGTAAAGCTATGGGGAAGAAGCAAGTGGTCACTGATTAGTGCTCAATAGAGAGAGAAATTCCAACTGACTTAAGAGAGACAGACACGTGAGACTGCTGTGATAAACAGCTTTACCATTTAGTCTTTACCTTTTCTTTCTCCTTGATAGCTGAACTTTGTTCGATTTTATCTTCCTTTGCTTATCCAGAAGCATGAGAAAGTAATATATTTGGATGATGATGTCATTGTTCAAGGTAAGCTGTTAAAAACCAGTTTCTAACAGAATTAAAATCCAAGTTATTGCAGTTTTACAGCCATTTGGAATTATGAGACAGAAACTGAGGCAGCTAGTAGGAGTGTTGGGGAAACTACAAATGATCTGTTTGTTTAAATGAAAGTTTGAGGAAGAACTTACCTGCATATATTTTGAATAATTTTGATCAAAATTGTATGCGAGTTTCATTTTAATTGATTCTGGTTAATTGGTAGAAGATACCATAGATTTCACTCAGAAGCTGCAATGTCTATTAAGTGTGTGACATGCATTTCCTTCTGGTATTTAAAGTCCCACAAATGCTACCAATTCCTTATCCAGAATTGCTGTTCTTGAGAGTGTTATGTTTGCCCAATTATCCCATCAAAAAAAAACCAAACAATATTTAAGGTAGCAACAATTTTAATGGAATAGTTTAGAAAATATATAAATAAGGGATAATTTGGTTCAAATAATAGCGCATAAACAAAAACAACCGCGGGGTATGGAGGGCAGGGTTCTTGACCCTTGCCACTTCACGTACAAGCTTGCCAAGTAAAAGTCACCCCTTATATGCCATGTGTCAATGCCATCTCCTCCTATTTTCGGTTCGTCACTTTTCTGTCTCCGCCTTCATTACCACCTTTACCACGCATGCGCCACCACTCGGTTTGGTGGTCGCACAAGTCTTTGGGGGTCGTCACTGATGAAGGCCCTGTAGTCTTCTTCATTGTCCTTTAATTCACCTTTGGGTTACACATGCGCACCAAGCCAGTACAATGTAAGCCAAGACTAACGTATCACTGCATCTACATATCAAAGCAATAAGTCCCTTATAATTAGCATTTTCTTGGACCCAACCAGGTTCTTAGTCATTTTTAGCAACTGTATCTTCAGCTTCTTTCCTGTGGTCCTTGAGAACATCTGCTGGGAAGGGGAGGTGGGTGGAGCCCCACCTTTCCATCTCTTCTTTGGCATTACAGCTTTTAACTATTAACTGTTTTATTATTCTCAAATATTAATTACTGTATCAATATTGATTACTGTTTCAATTTTTTATCAGCACGAATCATACCTATTTATCACAAGAGCAAGAGAAATTTAGTCAAAAACGTGGATGGGAGCTCCAAACACTCAAAATATGGTTTTGAGCATCTTCAGCTCAGAATGTAAAGCAATTTGCAGAATCACGAAGATTTCAGACTTCCTAGTCAAATGGGGGGAACTTACAAGGCATTGAAATCCTGAAAAAATATTTTATTTTTTTCTTATCATCTAAGTGATCTCTTTTGATCTCTTTTTAAAGATTAATTTCCTGTGAGTTTTTTCTGTTCTGTTTCCAAATCGTTGGGGTTTTTTCTCTGTAGAGCTGTTGTCTTCATATTTGTTTTACCATATTTTCTTGTAACTTTAAAGCACTTTTTAACCAGAGTGTTGTGCTTTAACCCTGGTGGGCAACTAAGCAAAATTTCCTTTGGAAGGAATGAGTATAAGTACAATAAATTTTTGGGCCTTTATTAGTCTTTGCTGTAAGAACACTAAGATGAGTGAATTTGCAAATGGCAAACATATAATTCTCCACTGCTTTTCTGCACCTTTTTATAGTTTTGTCTCCCTAGAGGCAGATTTCAGACAACCTGCGCTTAAAGGGGTCACTATTTCCTGCTTTGTAAAAGGCAACTAATCTGTTCTGCCTCATTTTAATTTGCCATAGACTTCCTATCACAGTTCTCCAATACAGGCGCTTCCAGTGGCAATCTCTGCTTTTTTTTTGGTTTTGTTGTTCTGCCTGTCATCAATGGGGAGCAGCAATATTTAACTCTTTGAAAGGTTCCAGGTCTTCATTTAGACTCCAATTTCAGGAGCAGCTCAAGCTGAGCCTGCCACTTCCCCGTCACCCCTCCCTGTGCTGGTGAGCACTTGTGTTCACCAGCACAGGGGTCTCCCCTTCCCTGGGAGTGTCAGTTGATGATAATCGTGGAACTGCAGGGTAAAGGTGTAGTTTCACATAAAACCTCATGGTGGGCTGCTGCTGACCAAGTGGCCTTTCCTGTCCCCAGACAGCTCCTTTTATGTGTGTAAAATGCAGTTGTGCAGCTGCAGAAGCAGCTGATTCAGCTGTTTGACCTGGCAGAAGACCAGCAGTACAAAAAGTAAAAGAGATAAAAGCAAAAGTAAAACTGGAAGCTGTAAGGGGTTGAGATGCAGGCTCACTTGATTGCTGTGGGAGTGTTCTGCTTCCTACCTGCCTTGAAACTATCCTGGCACATCTTGGGTACGTGACAGTCAGGTGATGAGTGAGGTGCCAGGCATTGCAATGTTTCCCTCCACCAAGAAGGAGCTGGGTGGGCTGTGAAGCCAGCAGGGATGGCCAAATGACAGACACATCTCAATCAGCCATTGCTGGGAATCCAGGTATCTTCCTAGGAGATAAATACACCATAACAGGAAAAACCTTATCTGTGCAAAACACTGAAGTGGGGCTTTTGTGGGACTTAAAGAGGCTCAGAGAAATTGCCTTTGCCCTCCCTCTCCATAGAGAAGCTCTATGAATGCATAAGTTTGTAACCAGGCTTTTTAACAGTCCTGTTGGCTTCTGCTGTAGCTGATTTTGGACAACAGTATCAATGTATTGAATACCAATGATCCTATCTAAAGATAGACCTTAGATATCCAAATATGGAAATGGTCCCATATGTGCTGGTTTAGAGCAAATCTGGGAGAAAACCCCCAAAGGGGGCCCCTCCCTGTAACCAGTTCAGGAAGGATTCCTCAGAGAAAACTGGAAAGAACCTGTTTATTTAACAGGCAAAGCACTCTCCAGTACACAAAATGAACAATACCAGATGACGAAACTCATTCACTGCTCTGAAGAGACGACAAATTCAGAAAGTCTCTCTGGTGGGTGGTTGCTCTGTTATCAGTCCCTCTGGCACTGGAAAAGGCTGCAGAGTAGGTCCCAGCAGGCTGTGAAGTGTTCTTGATGTTTCCCCGGGTCCTGGTCTGGAGCAGATTCAAATGGTTCCAAGAAAAGGGAAAGAAAAACAGTCCAGGGAAAGCTCGGACTGCCCCAGCTAGCTAAACTAACTAACAAGCAAAAGGAGCATGATGTTCTGCCCCATCTGTGCCCAGATACCAACAGTCCAGCCAAATGTGGAGGAGTGAGTGAGGCTGATAACAAAAACCTTGTGCTTCTTCTCCCTGCCTTTGCTCTGAGAGCCAGTTTTGAAGGCACAGAATAGAATATCCAGCATGAACAGAACACATGACTGGGGATAAAAGCATCATAAAATCACCCTAGGACACCATATTAGAAAATTCAATAGGGGCTATCCTTAAGACTGGTGTGTTTATAAGATATGAGAGCTGATGTTGTCCTATCAGGTCTGCAGCAGTGCAGTAGGTGTTGTCTCATGCTTGTGACCTTTCTGTAATCAGGTGACATCCAGGAACTCTACAATACTAAGTTAGCTCCTGGACATGCAGCAGCTTTTTCAGATGATTGTGACCTGCCTTCTACACATGAAATCGTTAGAAGTGTAGGGATGCAGGTAAGATGCCATTCTGGAATTCTAATAACAAATTTGTTTGCCCATAAAGGTAAGATGATTTTATGTGTTTTCCCCAAAGTGAAAGTTTTATATATGTAGATATAGATAGCTTTGTAATAGTACAGGTAATTAAGGACTTTTTGTACTGGTACAATTGTGATGCTGCATGACTTAATGTGGGCTACCAAAAGACAAACATAGCAAGAGAAAAGGCTTATCAAACTTCCATGGTACAATATTGTGGAAAAAGTAATTTAATATCTGGAAGTATCCTGCCTTACAGCCTTGTCATACAGAGCTAACAACAGGTAACTACCATCTAGAAACTTATCTTGGGAAGAGCATATTCAATCTCCTTCTCAGTGAGAGTGAAGTGCATTTAAATGTATCTTTACAGAGATTCATAGGGGATGAATATACTTTTTTATTTCTTAGAACACATACATGGGATTCCTGGACTACAGAAAGCAAGCCATTAGAGATCTTGGCATCAGCCCCAGCACCTGCACCTTTAATCCTGGAGTAATTGTTGGTAACATGACTGAATGGAAACATCAGTGGATCACACAGCAATTGGAAAAGTGGATGCGAAGAAATGTAGAGTATGTGTAGAAATTAGCTTCGCACTGGACTTTTAATACTTGTTTTACAGTTTTACATTTAAAAGCCCTTACAGGTTTTTTTAACTCCAAGCAGGCTTTCTTTTGAGATCTTGTCAAGTGAAGTAACTCGTGTTCCAGCATTTCCATCTGTTTAAATCTGACCAATCCTGTACCAGAAAATGGCCACTTGGAATTTTAGTCTTGTGTTCAATCACAAGCCACACTTAATCCTGAGGGACGTTGAGAACATGTGGTTCTCATTTTGGGTGACCAACTTAGCCTGGGATGAAGCCACTGAATGATCTTCCCTTCCTGAGGCTTGCTTAAAGAAGGAGGAGTATTTTCTTCTTGCCAGATATTTATTTTTAATCTGCCTTTTGTACTAAAGATTCCTTGAGGTTTTGAACATATTATTTTTCCTTTTGCAGGGAAAACCTCTATAGCAGTACCCTTGGGGGAGGTGTGGCAACCTCCCCAATGCTGATTGTATTTCATGGAAAATATTCCTCTATTAATCCTATGTGGCACGTAAGGCATCTTGGTAAGTTGAATTTCTCACTGTTTGCAAGTTGGAACTAAGACGAATCTGTGAGATTCCAGTGCAAGACCTTAGGTGACTTTACCTCATGTGCCACTTACATGGAAGGAACATATGAAATACCTGAATATAGTGAGACTGAAAAAAGTCAGGTGCAATGGAAGAAAAGGGGAGACCTGGCAGTGTTTGTTATCAACATTTTGGAGGATGTAGTTACCTTTCACCTAGGGAGTGGTGAATTACCCTAGAAAAAACATAATGGCTTAGCTGGTATGGTAAAATTAATAGATTTTACTTTGTTTTTAATCTCAGCTATGCCAAGATGTTAAAAGTGTTGAGAGAGAAAACTTGCTCAGTTTTTGCTGATGCCGCATAAGAGGCATCAAGCTGAAAATAGCTGCTGTATCATACAACTAGTTGTAAACTAACATGAAAGCATACCTATCAGATTTCTGAAAAAAGTCACCTGAATTTGACTCACTCTACAGTGTCTTCCATTATCAAAAATTGCATTTAAATTTTTTTTTTTTAATCTACCTATGCAGGTTGGAGTCCTGATGCCCGTTACTCAGAGCAATTTCTTCAACAAGCTAAATTACTTCACTGGAATGGGAGATACAAACCTTGGGACTACCCCAGTGTCCACACTGATCTCTGGGAAAACTGGTTTATTCCTGACCCCTCAGGAAAGTTCAAATTAACTCGTCCTGACAGGTGATACTGAAATACTGCATAACATAGTATATAGGACGCATTTAATAGTTTGAGATGCAACATGTTGTATGATTTTACAAAACAAAGTATTTGTTAAAAATATGAAAAACTGACCATCAGTTTTGTGTGCTTATGGCAGCTGAGGGAGGCTGGAGTGACCAATACATGGTTCAGATTTTTCACGTAAGGTGAGGAAACAAATGTATTTGACAATGAAGTATTTTCATTAAACACAGAGGTGAAATTCAGTGTCAGAAAGAGTGCTTTAATTTAAGGTCTTTCTAAGATTCCAGTATCTTCTAATAGGAAAAAAATCTACACAGGAGATAGCTGCAGTGTTATGTACAAGAAGTGTTTAGTTATCTAGCCCACATTAAACAGCCTGAATTGAAAACCTGGGCAGATGTTACTGTGCTCTGTTGTGGGGTGACTGTTTTGTGCATCTCTGTGTATAACACATCCTATCAAGATGCAAAATACATTCCAATACACTGAAGTACAATTCCCAATTTTATTGTGAAACACTGATAGATTTAAGACAAATTAAGAACTTCTGTATCACTGTAACAAAAAGAGCACCAGTTTTGAGGAAGGACATAGAACTGCAGTATTTAGTGGAATGGTCATTGTACACTTAACTGTATTTTATATCCAGATAACCAAGTGGGTGATTCCATTAAGGAAGAGACCTTTCCCTTCCAATCAAACAGGATAGCCTTTCAGGAGTTACATCCTACTGTATTACATACGCAGCAGTGCTAATTTCATGCTTCTAATTTTATTGAAAATAAAACTAAATTTAAACAAATCCCTGATGCAAGATACTTCAAGCACCTGCAGGAAAACATCCATGTAAACAGTAATACATGCTTCAGTACACTTTAAATAACAGACAAGTCCTATAACTTTCTGACAATATGTGGAATAGCTTTTTGCTGCAGCTAATAAACACAATCAGAATCATAATGCACACTCACTCGATTGAAGATTTTCAGAATTAACCCACATAATTTGGGAAGAAACTGTAAACACGCCTGCCTCACAACAAGCTGACAGTATGTGATCTCTGTAAGAGGTGTTACAGCAGGATTAGAACCTACATTAACCAGTTACACACAACTGTCACTAGCTGTGAAGAGAGGATAAATCACACTGGTACAGGAATCTCTGACCAGCACGGAGTGTGGAGATACTGTTTGTGTCTGTTTTCAAGTATGTGAAGCACCAAATGTCATAAGATTATCAAAACTTTAGTGTTTTGATCAGCTTATTGCTTTTACTTCATCTTTTCCTCACATGATAAAAGAGGGAAAGAAGATGAGAGTTAGGCACCAGGATGAATTTTTTTTTCCTCAGTCACTAATATTGGCCAAAAATGTGTATAATTTAGGCAAGTTCCTCAGAAGAGAGTTATAGTTTCTACAGACAACTTATTCATGGAACAGCTGTCCCTGTATTCAACTTAGTGTTTTTAACTTTTAAGTGGAATAAAGGGAAGACCCTCTAAGGTAGGACAGATTGAAGAGAGTTTAATGTTAAAAACTGCTAAACTGCAAATCTATTTCACCCAGTGCTAATTGTACATGATGTAAATAATATAGCTGTGCTTGACTTTTAAAGACAAAGCAGTCTTTCAGTTCTCTGTCTCATTCAAAGGGGTTGTCTCCTGCTAAAGGTCAGGCAAAAGGACTAACTTTATGGAAATGATGGGGTTTAAATACCACAGAATTCAAGAACTACCACTGCTCTTTGTTTTTGCTTTTTTTATAAAAGCAATTCTAGTTCCTTACATTGGAATTTAAGGGGGAAAGAGATGGAGTGGTAGAGAAACTTTATCCTAAGAGATCTCAGCTAGAATATTTAGGCCCTGTCCTGTGTGACACAAGTTTTCCTCTCCAGTGTTGTGACTTGAGATGATGTCTTCACTCCCTTCATCCTCAATTATGGTACACTCACTGAACAGACAGAGCTCTCTCATCCCACCCAGAAGACAGCACCCATAGCTGCAGAACACAACTTTCTATGCTTTTTAAGACGGTAAAAGGCAGGTTTAAAAAGCGCTATTTCCTTAACTGTGCATGATTAAAAACACTGTTTTACACAAGGTAAGGGTACATTTTCCATTTTCTCCTCTGGATATAAAAGTACTAAGAGATATCCAAATATTGAGGCATCAGTAAAAAGTATACTGCTGCTGTTCCTACCACGTTGCCATTTATGGAATAAAATTAATACCCCAAAGAAATCTTCACAAATGAGAAAGCAATTTGTCAAAACTGGAAGAAATGGTATACGTTAAATATAAAACTCATATACAAAAAAGGGCTAACTTTTTTTAAAAAGTTTGGACAGTTCCTTAAAATTATCTAGTTCATGGATTTCAGCCTACCACACACTTACTTTGGACTACAATAAAATAACTAGGGGAAATAAAATACTATTCAGATGCTTCAGTTGGAGAACTGAGGTACCAATCTTGATCACTGCATTAAAACTGCAGCATGTGTGCATAGCCGAGAAGAAACAGCTCCTACATGCTGCTTCCTTCCTATTCTTGTGTCATGCCAGCATTGAACTCTGGAATCTGGTCTGCAAAGGACTGTGTCATCCACTGTCCATTAGGAACCTCACCGAAGGACGAGCCTTTGCAGTACTGTGGATTGCTTCCTGCTGAACAAACAAAAATCACACAATTTTTAAAGGCAGTTTGTCATAGACATCTTTTGTGAAAAATCCTTTCTTTAGGATTTTTCCCCCTTCTGGGAAGCTGAGGCCGGAGAAGGGGAATGTAAACAATGGTTATCTGCTGCTGTGGAATGCAACAGGTGCACCTGTGATTGGCCCATGTTGGATGTGTACAATTAAGGGCCAATCAAAGGCCGAGCTCTCTCTGGGACAGAATCAGAGAGAGCTCCTTTGTTTATTCTTGTCCTTTTCTATTCTTAGGATAGCAAGCTTCTGAACTTTTCTCTCTATTCCTTTTAGTATAGTTTTAATGTAACATATATCATAAATCAATAAATCCAGCTTTCTGATCATGAAGTCAACAATCTCATCTATCTCTTCACCCCTGAAAGACCCTTGCAAGCCCTGTAACAGCAGTTGACACCACAGGCTCTTTGTTCCCCAGCAATGGCTGCAGACTGAATGCCCCAAGCACTTTACCAGTCCCATCTGAAGACAAGCTGCACTGGTCAGTGTCATACAGCGCACGGTCACAGTAAGCTCCTCCATATGCTGCTTCATAGCCTGGGTCATACTTTTCTTCTTTGACAGCCATCTTTTTAGCATCCTCTGGACAAACAGAACAGCTCAAGCATTAATATTTAGAATAAAAATTATCAAAGAGGACTTTTATCAGAAAAGCCACAAATTGTACAAGATTCTACCTGCTCTCCTTAAAAATGTAGGCTGTACTACAGAGAACAGAATCTATAATTCTATACCACACAGTTTAGTGAATCACATCGCCCCATTAAAAAATTCTTTATTTCTTTCTGCTTGGGAAACTGCTAGTATTGTACACTACATTACGTTTTAATGAAGTGTTAACAAAATAAAAACAATACCTTGTGCAAGTTGCAAGTCAAATGTGTACTGCACCTCCTGGACCTCCATGTTGGGTGCGATGCCTTTCAGTTGATCCCTTAAGTCTTTCAGCTTAATGTAATAATGTACTTTATCTTGTGCCCGAGGAAACTGAGCACATCTTGCACTGGAAGATGGCATAACATAGCAGAGCTTGAAACAAAGACCAAGAAAAAAAGCATTACTGATCCCTGAGCTATGAGTTACTACTTAGTGCATTCAGAACAACTTAACTCTTCTAACTATTTGTACAAACTTCAACTAATGCCACAGGTGGTTGTGGAAGGGGCTAAAATGAGTTTTCATTTTTTTTGGCTAGCCATCTGTCTTGCCCTGAAGACAAGGCTGATTACCAGCTGCTAAGTGAGCACAATTTTCACCAGTTATTTATGTGCTGCAGGAGAAGCAACAACATGTGTGTTACAAGAGAGCAGAGCACACTCCAGAACTCCCTGAACAAGCAGAGGTCTGAGCCAGGGCATAGAGGAGTACATGATAGCAAGCAAAGACCCCAAAGCAGTGAGGGAAGCAGCACAGGTTAATTAGCCTGGCCTATTGGTGAAGTGCATCTGCATGATGTAAACCAGGGTGTGAAACTGTTGTTAGTGCGGTTGGAGCCAGCTTCAGTGTTTCTACCTCTGCCTACAGCCCTAACTAAAGATATCAAGTTAGTTCAAGAAAAACAAACTGTATTCAATACTTCTATTATCATGCAGTCTTTATGAACAAGTACCAGTAAAGGGGATTATTTTTCTTACAAATACATCTACTGTAGAAGTCCTTAAGGGCTACCTAAGGAGAAAATATTTTATCCAACGATTCTTCAGGCTCTAATGGCAACACTTCCACCTTTAGAGAAAGGCAGCTGAAACTTGCAGCACTAGTAATTGAGGATAGAAATAAGAAGAAAAACAATCCAAACTTTTGAACTGACAAGATAATGAAGCTTTAGAATAAGCTACCTTGGCAAGCAGTGTAATCGCCTTTGCTCAAACTTATTTATAAGAACACATTAAACAATCCAATTATTAATGATACATAGCTGGTCTCTTGAGATATTTTCCAGCATTAGAGTTCTATGACTAATGCACTCTTCATCAAATTGCTTGTTTTATCTTAAGCATCCAATTTAACTTCAAACTGCAGGAAGTTAAGGAGACCCAGTCTGACAGAAAAGCTTGGGCATGCCCAGATCCAGCAATGTTGAAGGGTCACGTGCAGTAACATAAGGATGGACTTGCTGTTCTTTCTCGCGCACTGTGGTACTGCATGGTTACGGTCAGTATCAAAATCCAGTAATACAAATACCCAGGGAATTGGACACGGGATCAGATAAAAATTATCATAAAAGCAGGTACGTGTTACTTGTATTTTATGCAGTCCTCAGAGAATGCACCAACCTATGAACCATAACAAGCCATTTCTCAAAAGAAGTCTGCAAGGCTGAAGAAGCTGCATTAAAGATGTGTCCAAAAACTGCACTACTCCCCTTTCTCTAAGTAAAAACCTTTCACACCTCTTGTGCTCTGATCAAACTGGTGTAATCCTAAGTGTGTGCAAAGCCTGAGATTTCATTAATTTTAAAATAATCAATATGGAGTGCCCTAGTTTTGTTTCTCAGTCTCAATACTTACAGTTTCTGTATCTGGCACTTTGTGTGGCTGCAGTCCAAATTCCAAGTTCTTTACTTTAATTCCAAAAACTTCTTTACTAAAAATTTCATAAATACCTAAATGAAAATATAGGGTAAGTGAAAAAAAAAGCTAACAGCAGAAAAAGATTCATTTAAAAGTATAAGTTCCTCACATTTTCCATTAAAAGCTGCTATACGAGGTTTATACTTTTGTAGCTTCTGCATCAGAATTCGCCCTCCTTCCCGAAACTCTTTGCTACAAGACAAAATACTCAAAATTATAATCACAACTATTAATTCAATAACAAGCCTGTATTTCCTTTTATTGTCTTACCTGGAGAGGTCTTTGCTTCCAGGTGTTGTCCTTTCAACCATGTTTGTAAATCCAATCCCATATTTATGTGGCAAGGTGTGGTCATCCATGTGATTCAGCTGTTCATTACTCAGACCAGACATGAACAGACACTTCCCTGTGAAGTAGGAAGACAGATATGCATTTACCTTTTTCCAAGGAAAAGAAAACAGAGCCAAAAAATTCCACTTGACTACTGCACTATTGGAATGCTAAAGGAAGAATCTATTTTAACAAAGTATCAGTTAATTTGGGAAGACTACTGACCTATCCAGAAAGTTTTAAAGTAGCCCAATATTACTTTACCTCTTCCACAGGCCCCAGTGAACAGGAATTCCTTATCATGATCAGGCAAACCAGTCTTTTATTCTAGAAGCTCAGTACAGAGCTTTAGATTTTGTGATTGATTTAAGCAGCGATCAATATGGATTTGGGGGGAAAGAGTGTGGCAAATAGTATGTGTCAGCTTTCTTTGACAATTTGCCATTGCTTCTTCTTTCACTGGGCCTCTCTGACAGAACTCACTGTCTTGAACTCATATTTAGCATACAAAAATCCCTCTCTGAAGAAAAAATACCCAAAAACCAACAAACCAAAACCCAGGAGAAAAACAAAAAACAAACTAGTTTAGTTAAAATGCCACAAGTTCTAATAAAGTTCTGCAAATGCTAAAAGAAGAAAGAAAAACAAAAACGTACAAAAATGATTTCCAGGTCCTGGGTAATGATGTCCTTTGTAAGCTGCCATCAGGCCAGGGTTTATGCCAATCTACAAAGACAGCAGTCCATTTTAACAATGACAACATGGCTTGCTAGTCAAGAATTTAATCAAGTTACAGTAAGGATGCTTATTCAATTCTCACAAAGTTACTGTTAATAAACAAAAATGTATTAATGGCACCTTCCATAATTTTTTAAAAAACCTGACAATTTTGCAGCAGTGCCTCATTCAAATGTGCAAGGTCAAAAGAGCAGCTCAGAGGGTGCAGAGCTTCCAGGAAATAAAGCACTGAGTTATGGGCTCTCATGAATCTGTACTAAACATGAGCCTTAGATTCCTCAGAAATTAGAACTAAGTACATAAAATGTAAAGCAGCTCTACACACAAGAAAGTTTATGTACTTTATCTTGCAAGATCTTGCCATATAAGCAATATAGATGAGTAAGCAGAAAGAATGTAAATCATAACAAGTAAATACAAGACTTTTCTACCTAATCTTGAAATTGAATTACTCACTATCACAATATCCAGATCAAAGGTCAAAATATCAGGCAAAGTCTTGGTCAGAAGCTCAGCTTCAGATACACCATTAAAACGGTCCACTTTTCTTTTGACTTTAAAAGTATCTGTGATCTTTTCTTGTTTGCCTTTGGACTTGGCTGGTTTTTCTTTTTTAGCAGCAGGCTTTTTGGGTTGCTTTGGCTCAGTTGCTTTGGCTTTTCTTTTCCTTCCCCCTTTTTTAACTTCTGAAACACACAACAAATACTCTTTTTGTACATTTCCCATGTTGCAGTGTGGATACTCAAACAGACTCAGCTAAATGTATGGACACAAGGAGAAGGCAAAGAGGTAAATTTACCTTCAAAATTCATTAATTTAAGCAACACACCTGAAGCTTTCTCATCTTCTGGCTCTTAAAAGTTTAGAGATTCAGGCAGCACAGGCACTGGCCACGACATGACCACCCAGAGATTGCTCTCTCTCTCTATGTTCATTAATAATGTTGAGCTGTAGAACGGTGTCACTTTCCAACAGTTAGTCTTTGTTTAAATAAGCCACACTATACAAAACAATTCTTAGTAACCAATTCCCTACCTGTGATTACTACACAAACTAAGCAACCATTCAAACAAAAATATTTCAAATAAATTATACTGTACTTCTCTTGCAGAAAGTTTAAAAAAATAGGTATTTTGAAGCCAGAATCTTAAAAAAACCTTCTCTAACACAATACTAAAACCCACTACTTCAGCAAAGATAATGCATTTACCTATTGAAAAAAAATCTACTTTTCTTGGAACAAGATAATTATGTGAGACTGAACAATGTGCATATATTCACATCCATTTACTTCCTCTCTTTTAATTGTCTGTTAGAACATGTTTCTTAAAGAATACAATTAATCAGTACTTCTGCAGTGACCATCAAGGAAAGGAAATCCAATAGGTCCAAGGAAGCAATTTAAGAGCAATATTTTTTTCCCAATCACTCACTCTCACTTCAGCTCACTCGCATAGCCCAGTCAAGCTACCTTTTGGAGGCTCCTGAGCAATGTTTGTCTCTGGAATGCTGTCTAGAGCTGGCTGCTCAGTCATCATTTCCATGCTGGGCACTGCAGTCATCATCTGATGGAATGGAAACGAGTAAAATGCTTGAGCTTGCTGAAGATATGCGTAGTATCTTAGAGAGGAAGAAAGAAAGAAATAATTTATCAACAATTTAGAAACTTACCGATGTACCAAACAGAATGTAAAGGTCAAACTTTATCAAGGCTGGCATGTACTGCACTTACATTCTCTGATGACTCTGTTAACCCACAACATCAAAGCAGTCTGGCTGCTTAGCTGGTATCAGTTAACCCCAACATTAACAGCACAATTCTCCTGTAATTGCTATGATGTGGAATTAACACAGCATTTGTAAGGGCAGAATAGAGGTTTTATCTTTTCTTTTTTTTTTGTCAAATCATGGTAGCACATATTTCCAAAGCAAACTGTCTATCAAACAGACCAACAATTTATAACACATGTTGAGCTAAAGGTCTCTGGGCTTCCAGAAGTTCCCTAAATTTTAGATCTTTTTTATGTGGCATCAGTTCTGATAAGATACAGAATGGATAAATCATTCAGGGTTGTAAAGCATTAAGAATACACACAGGATTTGCCACTATGCAGATTATTAAACAGCTTTAACAAGTTGTGTGGCAGATGTTGTCCTGCTATCACACACTGGATCCCAACACAAGTATTGCACTTATTCCATATGGCAGTGTTCACACATACAGAGATCCTATGCATAAAGACATTTTTCCATAGACAGCTCTCTCTCTCCACACATTTATTAGTCATATACAACCCTCACACCCATTTCTACTTTATTCTGTCACCCCCTTCTATCTACACAGCCACCTTCTTGTCCATAGCTTCTACTGCCTCACAAATACATAGCAAGGACTTGGTGAACAGTAGATTTTCAGGAAATAATTTTATCATCTCAGAGCTATAATTAAAAACACCAAATAAATTTTAGATATAGAGATATTTGTCCAAGAAGGCCAATGGCATCCTGTGTTAGCAATAGTGCGGCCAGCGGGACCAGGGCAGGGATTGTCCCCCGGGACTTGGCACTGCTGAGGTCACATCTTGAGCCCTATGTTCAGTTTTGGGCCTTTCACTACAGGAAGGTGCTGGAGCATGTCCAGAGAAAGGCAACAGATCTGGGGAAAGGTCTGGAGCAGCTGAGGGAGCTGGGGGTGTTTACCCTGAAGAAAGGGAAATTCAGGGGTGACCTTATCATTTTACACAACCACCTGAAAAGAGGTTGAAGCTGGGTTGGTCTCAAGCAACAAGTGACAAGACAAGGGGAAATTATCTCATATTGTGCCAGGGGAGGTTTAGATTGGATATTAGGACAAATTTCTTCATGGAAAGGCTTGTCAACTATTGGAATAGGCTGCCCAGGGAACTGCCCAGAGTCACCACACTGGAGGTATTTAAAATATGATGCAGATGTGTAAATTTATGGACAGGGTTTAGTGGTGGGCTTGGCAGTGCTGTGTTAATGGCTGGATTCGACAATTTTAGAGGTCTCATCCAACCTAAATAATTCTGATTTTAAATTTCTCAAAAGAAGGGACCAGTCCCTACTACACACTGGATTTTTAAGAAACCCACAGTCTTGTGATCAAGACACTAATTTTAACCCAGGTATCTATCCTGAAACAAGGAGAATATGAACATTCATCTGTCAGATTCCAGGGAAGTTGTCTAACGAAGCTATAGGAGATTTTTGGAGTACAGGGAATACTTTAAACCTTCTGCTAGAAGAGTTCCATTTTATTTAAAATACGCGTACAGTTAACGAACCAAAAAAAGCTGATTTTCAGATTTGTATATACTTTAGGCCAGATTTCTTGCGTGGGTTCAGAAATATTTTTTGTATTGATGTATACATATTACAGAACATTTAATTAAGTACTTTTAGTATCACCATGAAAAGGCAGTGATTTGTTTCTTTCCCCTCCCTTCAGTTCATTATTTTTTCCTCTCCCCGCCCCTCCCCTTCCGTTCACGCTAAAAACAAAGGAAAAAAAAGAAAAAGGTAAAAGAAAAATATATGCTCACTGCAACAAAACCAGGTATTAAGTAA